AAGTATTACTACTGTAGCTGATGGGATAAAACTGTATTTGCGTAGTGGAGTCAGAAATACGGAATTATTCGCTGGAACTATGCCAATAAACATTTATCAGTGTCGAATAGGTTTCAAGGCCTTGTGACGCCGAACCCTTGCTCCTAGGAACGTAGGGGACCTAAAATGACATGTATCGCCTCGTTTCATCCGTGACCTTCTTAAATGACTATCTTGTCAACTGTAGAAAGAGGTTGCAGTGCCATAACGCCATGAAACCCGGTTATTGGAATTATCAATATATTAGAATAACTAAATGAAAATATGTAGATACCGGATAGCTGCAATAAACGAACTGCAGCAAATCTATTGTAAGGTCTTATATGCCTCAATGATATGCCAGGTTACGGTTATGCTGTTTTGCATACCGTACAGCCCTAACTTGCTTAAATGGTCTACCAATGCCTCTAGAAACAACTTTGCGTATAGCATTGTGTGATGACTCGCATCCTCATTCTCTGCGGAAGGACTGATGCGTGCTAAACATCATAAATGTGCTAGCTGTATGTGACGGATTGCAGGTATGTCCCATCATTTACCTTATCATTCAACCGTAGAAGAATTTTTAGCGAATTTATATAATATTCGACAGTGGTAACGCAAGAAGCATCTGATGCTGCTGTCCATAAATACCACAGAACTCAGACCTGCTTAGATGCTCCACATGCCCCCCTAGGTCAAGGCAGCTGGAAACAAGTGAAAAATGCAATACATCATGAAGTCTAGCCTTGGAAGACTTTTGCGCCATTTACGTAGTACCCCCTATTGTATACATATAGAGTATATGTGCACAGAAATATTGTTAGAGGCTACAGGAAATGAGAGTGACCATCCCAAATGGCTTTCCTGAAATTACAGTTGCTTTTTACTTACATCAATATATTATCTTCATAATTTTTAGGTTTGTCCGGATGTCTGAGTGTGCGTGAAGGAATATATGTCTTCAAGCACTTCATGGGACATAGGTACTGCAACTTTAACCTATGTGTTTCATGTGTCTTTGAGAGCCGTATGTGCCCTTGCATATGCTCATTTGCTGCTTTAGTCCGTTTCCTTAAATGTGCATGTGGATCACGGCAGTTTATATCATAAAGACTGTCGAACTCCCTGATGATCTCCATTTGCTTTAGAGGTCGATACCGAGGGAATTCTCCTCCAACTTTGCGATGTTTTAATTAGCTAGTGTTTCTAATTTTGCTAATGAGCCCTGTATGTCGTCAGGTGGCATTTTTTAATACGGGTGATTTCATGGAGTTCTGTTTGAATTTATGGGGAGCTTTCGAATTCATCAACCTTCTTAGAGGCTCATGAACTTGTGTATCTCCCAAGCGCTTTGTCTGTCGCACGGAATTCTTTCTTGCCCTCGGATATTGACATTATTTTTTCTAAATTTAACTCTACTTCAGATTTTTGGAGGTACACAAAAATCGATTAGCAGGGAATGTAATGTGATGCTTTTTTTTGTTAGTGAGCATTAACCACTGTGTTAATTTATGGCCTTTCGTCAGGTCTTGCTCAATAACCCCGTTTTATGATTTACACAAGCTTTTTTCTCTCAAGACTAGAAAAATACCTCTCATATAGTAGTGAAGTACAAGTGCCCTGTTGCCAAGAGCGACAACCTGTTAAAATGCTTTCCCTTTATTCATCTGCCCCTCCACCAGACAGAATGCGGAGTCGTGAGGTCAAATAATTCGATTTGGTGAAATTATATGCCTTTGAGATAAAGTGTTTTAAATTCTTCATGCAAATGCAAAGTTCTTTATTGCGAGACTATTCAAAGGGCTTGCTCAGCCTACAGATTTTATTTAGCATAATACCCTCATTTCAGATCATCTTGACCAGTCTTCAAGGAACACTGTATAACGGCTGTATGCACAGATATTTCGAGAGTGTCTTTACATGCACGGTGTTAATTGTGTGTGTCATCGTCAGTCACGCTTCACTGCATCGGTGTTGTAATGAACGACAGACAAAATCATAATTATAGGAATATTCTACTGCATTCGCGAGGGCGATACTCCCAAGCGACTGGAGGTGCCCCTCGAGTAGGTCTTTCCAAGTTCGATGTTGGCTACCGGGGGAGGGGGGGTAGAGTCGTTCGCAGTTTCGATCCCATAACAGGATTTTTGGAACGACTGGTGCTTTGTCCTTGCAGATGATATTGTCAAACAATGAAGATATTTTCCTCAGTTCGTTACTCGTTGGAACCAATGAACTTTGAGCATATGGCATAGGCAACGTTGTTCGAAGGTACTTAGACTACGCTCACGTGTTTTCAGCAAGGTCACCCTCTCCAAGTCGTACAATAAAACGGAAATGACAGATGACTTGAACATGTTCGTTTTCATCGTCACTGGATGCTGTGATGATATCAGATCTTCTCTACGTTTCCAAGCGCTGCCGTTGCTAAGGCAGTCGTTCTGTTCACCTCCGTGCCGAAGCAGCCATCGTTGGTGACGATAGAGCCAAGACATCTGTACTGGTCAAATTCGTCATATGGTTTACCATGCGCAAAGAAGTCAGTGTCCCCTGCTCCTTCTGCCTTCATAATCACTTTCATTTTCTTCTGATTGAGTCTAAGGCGTATTCTTTCAGTGACGGTTTGAACCTCTGTTGACAGCCGTGGTCCAGTACTGAAATCGTTGACCGGTGTTTGTTTTGTGCTAACTGTCAAACCGCATATTCAGTTATTGCCCATATTCAGACTAATCAATTCCTTGGGGGGGAGGGGGGGCAGAACAACCTCACCTCTCATCAATTCTGGTGTGGTCCCATCACAACGCCACATTGTTTGTATGTCTATGACTTACTACTTTCTTGTAAACAAGACGAGATGAACTCAATCTATGAGTCACCTCCCTTTGAACGTATGAGTGGATATCCTGGTGATGGACCATACAGTTTCGTCGCATGTGAAATAAGGTCTTTCTGCTGCGAAATTTCTCTGCCTATGACCAGTGGATCACAAAACTTTTGAAAACACTTCCAATTTTGGGTTGACTTCAGTTGCTTCTGCCTTATGTTGAAAACTTTTCATAGTACTGTGTCTTAGAAGTACTTTTCATAGTACTTTGTCTTGTCGTTCAGCGGCGAAGGAACATATAGCCCACTACCTCAGAGGCTTTCACCGATCGATCAAGATGGCGAATCGCTTGTGATCTTCATCATAGCATTGGTAGCATTTTCAGGATGACTTTATAAATCGCTCACAGCAACAGCCTGGACGCTGGCTGTCGTGACTCAGGAGTTATTCTGCTGATGGAGGGCAGGAGGAATCTATATTAGACAGATTCTTATCTTAAACAGAGCTCGAACACTAGATTAGCTTTATCTTATGCGTGTTGCCCATGCGAAGCAGAGGTTATGTTCCTTATCTCAAATTTATTACCTCTCAACCTGGCATCTACAAGGTTTACAATGATCTTCGATGTGTTTAGCGTGTGCGGACCGATTCCACAAGAGGTGGTTGAGTTTCTTGTTGAAAACTTGAACAATGCGGTCGCCTGGTCCTGTTTGCCGACCCTCGTCCGAGAGGCTGTAGCTACGAAGGAAAGAACTGACCCCTGGCTACCGAAGAAAAGTAGCAAAAGCTTTATCTGCGGATGCCTGATTCTCAAACATATGAAACATTTTTTCACTGACGACGCGAGGGCACGATACGGTGCTGGCGCGTTCTCTGGCCTGTAGGAATGCGAATTTTTTAGCTTCGAGGAATTCACCAAAATGAGTTATGCAAATTTAGATCTGTCATTTGGTTTTACAATGATTTATAATAGTCACTCTGAGGAAAATATTTCTGACAAAGTTCAGTATCCCGTCGTTTCATCATATTCGTGCTGGTGAGCAGTTGCCAACTGACGTTCAGCGGCAATGTTTTCTAACGAACTCAGTGGTTTGTGAACTCGTCTGCCCCGTTGAACACTTTTTCCTTAGGTCGTCGCATAAATCAGTGAATTAGAAGTCCGAACAGAGAC